TCAAACTGCGTCTGCCGGGAGTCGAACCCGGGTCTATTGCTTGGAAGGCAATTATCCTAACCGTTGGACTACAGACACTTGTTGGCAATTTCTCTAAATTTAATATATTGATAGTTTAAGTTAGCAGCCCATATCCTTTTTTTTGGGGTCTAAATCAGCCCATATCCAAATCTAAGTTTTTTGCTATTTCTGGTTATCAGCCCATATTTAAAAATCTAATGCTTCCAAGTTCCAAACAATTGTAATTTAAAATCTAAAATCTTGAAGATAAACTTGGATTGTCAGACTGAATGGGCCGCTCCATCCCTGGAGGAAGATACTAATCGATGTGTATATTAGAGTTGTGGAACCATCATTGATTTGTTGATTAGACTATTTTCTTATTCCTTCCCCAAAAAATCATAACTACAAAAACAGAAATGATAAAACTCGATGTGTATCAAACTAGCCAACTAGGAACATTTCACAGCCAAATTAGTATAATCCCAGATTTTTCTTTTTGATAAATTTTACATGTGATTAGTATTCACCAAAATACCTTAAATTCCTATGTACAAGGGCTAACTAAAGCTAAATATAACAAAGCCTAAAAAATTTAGCGCATTCTTTTATCTAAGATTAATTACTCCGTTGGATAAGAAAAGATGTTAACTATTCAGAAAATTAGAATATCATAATATCATATGTTTTTTAATAAGATAAGACAAACAACACACAATGATACAATCGGCTCAACTTAATCCGCATCGGAAAAACCACATTTACGCTAATGTCTTCTGTATGTGGTTCAACACATGAGCTCTTTAAATTAAACTATCGAACTTGTATGTTCTCTATTTTATAGGATGAAGATGAAAAGTTTGATATCTATATTTCTCTGAATTCAAACAAAAATGATGCAGCAATCGTAAATTTTTTTTTTTTGGATATGTAAGGTTTGAAAATTTCGTTTTCATGGTCTATAATTTTCGTCTCCTAGATCACCATATTGTTAAACTAACATCATCAGAAAAATCATCATGTGCTTTAATAACAATGGGAAAGCAAAACATGCCACGTATATACCGATGGCTAAATTAACTAGTAATTATGTCTTTGTCAAAAAACACACATCCTCTTAATGTCATTAACTCATATATTCACGAAATGTCTATCTTTTGTTATTTTATTCAAATCTATTAGAAATTGGGGGATTAGCATTAGAATATAGACTAATTTGATCAAAATTGTTAGTCAACAAAACGGAGTCAAACATCAAATCATACAATTTGTTAGGTAACCACTTGGACATCTCCCATTTTATTAGTCCACGGAAGTGGTCCAAACGAAAATGATTCATGAACTATACAATAATACGAAATTATTAGTAAATCATTATGTATTGAGAAAAATATAATTAATTTACCAAAAAGCCTCAATTACGAATCGACTAAGTCTTCTTGCAAATTACGGAGAACGTCACTTCGATTTGTTCTATTGATTATGATTTTTGTCACACACCATTAATTAACCATCTACCAAATACTTACACCCATAAGACATTAAGGCATCAAGCCAAGAGGAGAACCAATTCTATCGAGGGTATAGTGAAAAAACCAGCCAATAAAACCCTATTGAATCAAGAATAGCTTGCAAATTCGATACTTACTTAGCAGTG